CTTCATTACCCTCCAAGAAGCTGGGTCTACAGGCAAATTTAAGTGTATTTCTCTACTAATCGTTTTATTATTATTATTTTGAGACAGGGTCTTGCTCTGTCGCCCAGACTAGAATGCAGAGGCACGATAATGGCTCACTGCAGTCTACCTCCCAGGCTCAAGAGCTCCTCCTGCCTCCTGAGTAGTAGGACCACAGGCGTGCACCACCCCATCCAGCTAGATTTTTTTTTTTTTTTTTTTTTTTTTTTTAGAAAGAGAGTCTCACTGTGTTTCCCAGGCTGGTCTCTAACTCCTGGGCTCAAGCGATCCTCCCACCTCAGCCTCCCGAAGTGGCTGGGATTACGGGTGTGAGCCACCATGCCCAACCAATTGTTCTTGTAATAATTTTTTTTTTTTAAGATGGAGTCTCGGTCTGTCGCCAGGCTAGAGTGCAGTGGTGCGATCTCGGCTCACTGCAAGCTCCACCTCCCGGATTCCTGCCATTCTCCTGCCTCAGCCTCCCGAGTAGCTGGGACTACAGGCGCCCGCAACCGCACCCGGCTAATTTTTTGTTGTTTTTAGTAGAGACGGGGTTTCACCGTGGTCTCGATCTCCTGACCTTGTGATCCTCCCGCCTCGGCCTCCCAAAATGCTGGGATTACAGGCGTGAGCCACCGCGCCCGGCCAATTTTTTTTGTTTTTAGTAGAGACAGGGTTTCACCATGTTGATCAGGACGGTCTCAATCTCCTGACCTCGTGATCCACTGCCTCAGCCTCCCAACGTACTAGTATTACAGGTGTGAGCCACCGCGCCTGGCCTAATAATTTTTTTTTTTTTTGAGACGGAGTCTTGCTCTGTCACCCAGGCTGGAGCGCAGTGGCGCGATCTTGGCTCACTGCCGCCCGGGTTTAAGCAATTCTCCTGCCTCAGCGTCCTAAGTAGCTGGGATTACAGGTGTGTGCCACCACGCCCGGCTAATTTTTGTATTTTTAGTAGAGACGGGATTTCAGCATCTTAGCCAGGCTGGTCTTGAACTCCTGACCTTGTGACCCACCCGTCTCAGCCTCCCAAAGTGCTGGGATTACAGGCGTGAGCCACTGTGCCCAGCAATAATTTTTTATATGTCCTCTTTTCTCTATGCTAAATAAATCTTCCTTAATTTATACTCTTCCTCAATCATGTTTTTCTCCATTCTTTTGTCACTTGCTATCATGGAAAGTCTTAGCTCACGCTCTGAATTAGATAGTTTTATATTAAGATAAAACATGAGGAATTTATTTATTTTTTTTTTTTTGAGATGGAGTCTCGCTCTGTCGCCCAGGCTGGAGTGCAGTGACACGATCTCCGCTCACTGCAGGCTCCGTCGCCTCCCGGGTTCACGCCATTCTCCTGCCTCAGCCTCCCTAGAAGCTGGGAATACAGGCACCCACCACCACGCCCGGCTAATTTTTTTTTTGCATTTTCAGTAGAGGTGGGATTTCACCGTGTTCACCAGGATGGCCTCGATCTCCTGACCTCGTGATCTGCCCGCCTCAGCCTCCCAAAGTGCTGGGATTACAGTCGTGAGCTACCGCACCCAGCCGAGGATTATTTTTTACGTTTTTATATCAAATCCTATTTCTTTCACAGTACCTCTAACGTATTTTCTGACCTTGGGCATAGTGATTATCTATTTATTTCTTAGATTTCAGTTTAGCTGTTTGAAAATAATAGTAGCTTAAACAAGAGAATTTATCTTTCACGTAAAGTCTGTGTAAGTAGTATGGGACTGCTGTGGTTACCATGACCATTAGGAACCCAGGTCCTGGCCAGGCGTGGTGGTTGACGCCTGTAATCCTAGCACTTTGGGAGGCCGGGATGGGCAGATCACGAGGTCAGGAGTTCGAGACTATCCTGGCTAACATGGTGAAACCCCATCCCTACTAAAAATACAAAAAAATTACCCGGGCATGGTAGCAGGCACCTGTAGTCCCAGCTAATCAGAAGGCTGAAGCAGGAGAATGGCGTGAACCTGGGCAACGGGGTTGCAGTGAGCCGAGATTGCGACACCACACTCTAGCCTGGGCGACAGAGCAAGACTCCATCTCAAAAAATAAAAAAACCCAGGTCCCTTCAAGGATTTTTTGGCCGTTCTCAACACAAGGTTTCTAACTCAGTCCATGATGACTGCTTCCCTTCCAGATATCATATCTGCATTCTAGCCAGCAGGAAGAAAAAGAGCATGCCTCCTCACCTTCAGAACCTGTCCAGAAGTTACATACACCAGTGCTGTTTATTTCCCACTTAGTCATGTAGCCACTTGTAGAATTTATTTATTTATTTATTTATTTTTTGGAGACAAGGTCTCGCTCAGTCACCCATGCTGGGGTGCAGTGGCAAGATCATGGCTCACTGCAGCCTCAACCTCCTGGGCTCAAGCGATCCTCTCACCTCAGCCTCCTGAGTAGCTGGGACTATAGGCACAGGCTACCACACCCAGCTAATTTTTAATTTTTTGTAGATAAGGTGTTTCGCTATGTTGCTTAGGATGGTTTCAAACTCCTGGACTCAACCAGTCCATCCACCTCACCCTCCAATGTGCTGGGATTACAGATGTGAGCCACCGTGCCCAGGCAGAATTTTCAAAGGGGCAAATATAGTCTTTATTACAGGAAGCCAGGTGTAAATGTCAAGGGTTCTGTTATTGCAGAAGAGGAGACAGACACTGGAAAACAACTCATTTATAGCTTCTACAACCATTCTTTGTCTTCTGTTCCTTTCAATTATAGCTCATTTATTTTCATTACATTGTGGGTTTTGGAGCAACTGATTCTCCAAGGAATTTCATCTTTTAGGGAAACCCCTTCTTTGAATGAAATAGTCTCCAGAAGTATAAACAAAACATATGAAAGCAGGGCTGCTTTGGTTGACAATTAGGATGGTTGAGGGAGAGTCTTGCTCTTTTCACCACCTTTACTGGCTTCTCTTCTCTGTCCCTCCAACCCCTCCTATGCCTAAGGACTGTTTACAGAGCTTGAAAATATAGCGGTTTCCCCATTTACTTACCGTTTTTAATTTTCAAAATGGCAAATTATTGCCTCTGATAATTAACCTAAGTTTGAAAGAAGTAGGCTTTTTTTGGTGAATTCTTCATTTTGAATGTTGTTTTAGAATCTAACATCCTTTTCCTTTCATTTAATTATAACCTACTCAGTATAGATAAGAAGCTAGAAAATATAAAAGGAACTGAAATGTCTGAATCTATAATAAATTCAAAATAACCATTCACTGAGTAAATTATAACGATTATCTATGCTGAACTCAGTGTGATGCTGGTGTTCTATGCCTACATAGAATTACCGTGAATGTTAGAATCAGAAGCCTGCCAGCATATGTGTATCCTGTAAGCATTGGATCAGTTCTGTAAAAGATACTTTACCAAGTGTTACTTAATTACACATTATTTTTAATTCTTCTAGCTAGGACTATATCTCTTATCTTATCCTTTCATGAATATAAAGTTCTAGTGTCTTTCCCTTTGCTCTGACCCTACTGTTTCCTCAGCATGGCTGGACCAGAAACAAGGGAGAGGATACAGAAAATTTGTTTGCTATAAAATAAATCACTGGTGGCTTTGGAGTCAACTATTTGTCTCTCTTTATATTAGATTACTGAGTAGCTTAAATTAGTTTTTAAGCTCAGTTTGTAGGTATTTTTCTGCCAAGATAATTTTCTGTAAGGGGTAACTTACTTTCTTTTTTTTTCCTCTCTGAAAATTTAAAGACATAGTTTGGGCCGGGTGCGGTGACTCACCCTGTAATCCCAGCACTTTGGGAGGCCGAGGCAGGCAGATCGCCTGACCTCAGGAGTTTGAGACCACTCTGGGCAACATGGTGAAACCACATCTCTACCAAATACAAAAAAAAAAAAAAATTAGCCAGGCATGGTGATGCTTGCCTGTAGTCCCAGCTACTTGGGAGGGTAAGACACGAGAATCACTTGAGCCCGGAGGCGGAGGTTGCAGTGAGCCAAGATCGTGCCACTGCACTCCAACTTAGGCTACAGAGTAAGACTCTGTCTCAAAAAAAAAAAAAAAAAAAAAGAGTTTGAATAGAACAGTCTGGTTTAGGAATACCACATCAGGGTTATCAATTCTTAAAATAATAAAAGTCTTGCAGGATCTTAGGGCCAGGGAACTGAACTGAATTTATTTTCACATGCTTTAAAAAAAAAAGCTTTGTATCTTATTTAACATCCTGTTTTGTTCCCATGTGCTCATAAAAAGTGTAGAATATAGGAGCAATTTTTAAATGGTTTTGCTTTCTGACTCATTTTGGAGTCAAATGTATATTATTTGGCATGTTAGGCCTCCTAGCAATTTTACCTGAACCCAAAGAGAATAGACAGAGACTTCTGAGCTTTGAAAAATTATGCGTTCGGGCCGGGCACAGTGGCTCACACTGTAATCCCATTACTTTGGGAGGCTGCAGTGCGTGGGTTACTTGAGGTCAGGAGTTAAAGACAAGCCTGGCCAACATGATCAAACCCTGTCTCTACGAAAAATACAAAAATTAGCTAGGCATGGTGGCCTGCAACTGTATGTCCAGTTACTCGGGAGGCTAAGGCAGTAACTGCTTTACACAGAAGGCAGAGGTTGCAGTGAGGCAAGATGGTGCCACTGCACTCCAGCCTGGGTGACAAAGCGAGAATCCACCTAAGAAGAAAAAAAAAAAGGAAAAATTATGTATTCATAATTGTCATGATGCAGGTAAATCTATATTTCAGTTTTTCTTTACATAGTTGGCAGCATAGAGTAATAGATGACATCTTTAAAAAAAAATTTCAAGTAGCTTTGCTTTAATCTATATCCTCCTGCCATAGCAGTGAACTAGTGCTATAGAACAGAAATTTTATTTAATTTAGTATATCAACAGCCTATGTTTTTAATCTTGGTCTGAAAGCCCATGTTCATGGTAAGACATAAAAATTTGAGAAATGATTTACTTGGTGTTTTACATCAATGTATTACCTTCTATTTTAGGTCTATCATATGGCAAGTGTACGCTTACGTGATCTATGTCTAAAACTGGATGTTTCAAATGAGTTACGAAGGAAGATATGGACGTGTTTTGAATTCACTTTAGTTCACTGCCCTGATCTAATGAAAGACAGGCATTTGGATCAGCTCCTCCTTTGTGCCTTTTATATCATGGCAAAGGTAATGTATACATTGGGAGAAGAGGCTGGGCATGGTGGCTCACATGTATAATCCTAGCACTTTGGGAGGTCAAGGCAAGGAGATCACTTGAGCCCAAGATTTCGAGATCAGCTTGGGCAACATGGTGAAACATTGTCTCTGTAAAAAATGTAAAAGTTAGCTGGGCATTGTTGCTTGCACCTATAGGCCCAGCTACTTGGGAGACTGAGGTGGGAGGATCTCTTGAGCCCAGGAGGCCAAGGTTGCAGTGACCCGAGATCATGACACTGCACTTCAGTCTGGGCAATAGAGCAAGACCCCTGTCTCAAGAAAAAAAAAGTTTCTGTACCATATTGCATATTGCTTTCTCGTGATTTATTGTGCTGCCTCAGAAGAGCATTTTACTTTCTAGTTGCTACAACGTGTTTTAAGTCATAGAATAACATATCTTGCTTGTTTTTTAAAATTCTCATATATCTGATACAATCATTTGTCTTTACCACACTGGCCACACTGGCAGTCCTAGCAGATATATACAGTTAAGATTCGATTTTTCAGCTTTTTTGAGACAGAGCATAGTTTTTAAACTCCTTTGTGACCCCTCCTCCCAGAATGCCTCTTTGAAATCTCTGTAAAAATAGGTCTTAGGCCGGGCGCGGTGGCTCACGCCTGTAATCCAGCACTTTGGGAGCCCAAGGCGGATGGATCACAAGGTCAGGAGATCAAGACCATCCTGGCTAACACGGTGAAACCCCGTCTCTACTAAAAATACAAAAAATTAGCCGATCGTGGTGGTGGGCGCCTGTAGTCCAGCTACTCAGGAGGCTGAGGCAGGAGAACGGCGTGAACCTGGAGGCGGAGCTTGCAGTGAGCCGAGATTGCGCCACTGCACTCCAGCCTGCGCGACATAGCACGACTCCGTCTCAAATAAATAAATAATAAATAAATAAATAAATAATAGGTCTTAGTAATGTTTCTGCAGCACTATGGCAGTTAACGAGAACATGCACCATACAAAAGGCAACTAAAAGGGAGCCAACAAGAAAATGGTTGATTCATTTTTTAAGGAGATTAGTTGATGTAAAAAAGCTCCGAGTATGTTCAATACAAGAAATACTGGAAGACACTAGTTACCAGGACTCAAGGAACCAAATTGCATCTGATAGCCTCAAGAGTCATGTGTTTGAAGTGAATCTTGCTGATTTGCAGAATGGTGAAGTTGCACTTAGAAAACTCAACCTGAAGGGCCGGGCGTGGGCTCACGCCTATAATCCCAGCACTTTGGGGAGGCTAAGGCAGGCAGATCACCGAGGTCAGGAGATCGAGACCATCCTGGCTAACACGGTGAAACCCTGTCTCTACTAAAAATACAAAAATTAGCTGGGCGTGGTGGCACACTCCTGTAGTCCAGCTACTCAGGAAGGTCTCCTGAGGCAGGAGAATCACTTGAACCCGGGAGGCGGAGGTTGCAGTAAGCCAAGATCACGCCACTGCACTCTAGCCTAGATGACAGAGTGAGACTCTATCTCAAAAAAAAAAAAAAAGAATTAAAAACTTAAAAGATAAATGTACTAGCTAATCGTGTGTTTTCCAGAAGACTGTTAGAGTTCAGGCTTTGCCATTTCTAGCTCATCATTATAGAGAACAGGGTTAGCACTAATGGACAGTGAAGCAAGGGAAAGGAGTAACTTAAGTGAAGTTTATGATCACAGAGATCCCAGAAGGAATTCCTTTTTCTTCCTTTTGGCCACACTGTGACTTCTGTCTAAACATTAGAAACCCTACAGTCTGGGCCGGGCGGCGGTGGCTCAAGCCTGTAATCCCAGCACTTTGGGAGGCCGAGACGGGCGGATCACGAGGTCAGGAGATCAAGACCATCCTGGCTAACACGGTGAAACCCCGTCTCTACTAAAAATACAAAAATTAGCCGGGCGGGTGGCGGGCGCCTGTAGTCCAGCTACTCGGAGGCTGAGGCGGGAGAATGGCGTGAACCCGGGAGGCGGAGCTTGCAGTGAGCCGAGATCACGCCACTGACTCCAGCCTGGGAGACACAGTGAGACTCGTCTCAAAAAAAAAAAAAAAGAAAGAAACCCTACAGTCTGTCCTGAAATGTTAAAACCTAATCCTATAATAGCCACTCAGTTTGATTGAGGATCATCACTGTAAGATATTTTTAATCATTTGTATGTAGTTAATTTACTTTTAAGTAAGTACTTAAAATTAATAAAACTGGAGACTGCAGGGCATTAAACAGATCTGAGTTTTCTTATATCTTTTTTATATAAAGAAATGGATTTTCAGTAGAGTCACACCATAACAGTTTCAGTGCTTTTTGATTAATGAAACTATTAAGTGATTCCCCACAGGCTACAAAGCCTGAACTGTAAAGTAGAAAAAATCATAAATGTTAGTGGTTTTTAGTCATGGACTGGCCTGGGGTTAATGGTTTTCTGCAAGGTTGCTCTCAGTGCCAACTTATAATTGAAGTTTTGTTCAGAGTCATTTTTCTTTCAAAAAGCATTTGATAAATGCAGTTTTTATTTTCCTTAGGTAACAAAAGAAGAAAGAACTTTTCAAGAAATTATGAAAAGTTACAGGAATCAGCCCCAAGCTAATAGTCACTGAGTTACATTATTCTCCTACTGTCCAAAAATAGATTTACTGTTTTCCACTGACAAGTTATATAAAAGGTAAACTTATTTTATAGCTTTAATATACTTCAGATTTCTGTTTTAATGGATAACATTAAACTCAAGAGATAATTTCATCAAAGGACAATTTCAGTAGAAGCCAGGAAATCTAACTGTTTCCGATTCATCCATATACTTCATATACTTCTCATAAGTTCTGCCATTCTATTTGTTTCATTTAATGAAAGATATGTATAATGGCTCACGCCTGTAATCCCAGCACTTTGGGAGGCGGAGTCAGGTGGATTACCTGAGGTCAGGAGTTCGAGACCAGTCTGGCCAACATGGTAAAATCCTGTCTCTACTAAAAATACAGAAATTAGCCAGGCATGGTGGCACACGCCTGTAATCCCAGCTATCGGGAGGCTGATGCAGGAGAATTGCTGAGCCCGGGAGGCGGAGGTTGCCCGTGAGCCAAGATTGTTCCACTGCACTCCAGCCTGGCCGACAGAGCGAGACTCTATCTCAGAAAAAAAAAAAAAAAAAGATATGTATAATAATAATATTCTTTAATTATATAACTTTTTTTTTTTTTTTTTTTTTTGAGACGGAGTCTCGCTCTGTCGCCCAGGCTGGAGTGCAGTGGGCCGGATCTCGGCTCACTGCAAGCTCTGCCTCCTGGGTTAACGCCATTCTCCTGCCTCAGCCTCCCGAGTAGCTGGGACTACAGGCGCCCGCACCTCGCCGGCTAGTTTTTTGTATTTTTTAGTAGAGACGGGGTTTCACCGTGTTAGCCAGGATGGTCTCGATCTCCTGACCTCGTGATCCGCCCGTCTCGGCTCCCAAAGTGCTGGATTACAGGCTTGAGCCACCGCGCCCGGCCATAACTTTATTTTTTTAATGAATTTAAACCCAGTGAAATTTTAGGGTTCATTAACCTAACTACAGCTTCTTTTGCCATCTGCTAAGCACCTAATGTTTGCATCTTGAATAGATGTTAAACATTTCTGATTATATTGTTCTCGCTGTGGTGAAAATTGCATGAAACCTTTCAGTCATAGTAGCAGAGTGGACTGGACACAATAAGCATTAATGAATGTTAATGATCATATTGTTGTTATTATTGTACCTGAAGAACACAAGTAATTACCTTAAGGGTTTGATCATTCAAGAACCTGGTTGCTCTGCTCTTAGGAAGCATAATGGTCTCTTCTCTGGCCCTGGAAATTGTTAGCCAGAAAGAGAGTGAGAGTGCCTAGATTGCAGACCAACACAGAGATGTGGCCTCAGTATTAGTAGTTATATCCCCTTCTAAGAGAGCTTTAAGCCCTAAATACATTATAGCAAGCAATATAGAGACATTTGAAGAACCAAGTACAGGCATTTGTTATATCCTGTGATAAGCTAAGATTTTCTGGGCTTCTTCAGGAAAATCCCTCAGGAACAGAGCCTAGAAAGCTCTAGATTGTCCTTGAAGATCATTAAGGTGAGGTTTAGTGTGAGTCAAAAATGGGCCAAGCATGGCTCCCTGAATATCCTTCTTAATACTCAGTAACCTATAATATAGTACAAGGGGGATGGATCATGCCTTTCCAGCTATCTCAGAGGTGAGATATTCGGGCAGGGAAGGGAAAAGATTTTATGTGCATCTGAAAGGAGATGGGAATGGGCTGGGGGGCAGAAAACAAGCTGCTTTAGAACAAACGACTCTTGGCCAGGCACAGTGGCTCACCCTGTAATCCCACCAGTTAAGGAAGCCAAGGCAGGCAGATTGCTAGCCAGAGAGTCAATGCTACAGTGAGCCATAATGTTGCCACTGCACTCCGTCTGAGCCATGGAGTGAGACCCTGTCTCTCAAAAGAAAAAAAAAAAGACAATCGATTGTTGTGTAAGGAATTAAAAGGAGAATTAATCAGGTCTTTTTTTTTTGTTTGTTCATTTGTTTGTTTTCTTTTGTTTTGTATTTGGGACAGAGTCTGCTCTGTTGTCCAGGCTGGAGCGCAGTGGTACAATTCGTCAGTGCACCTGTCACCCCCTTCAAGCAGTTTCCTGCCTCAGCTCCTAGTAGCTGGAATTACAGGTGTGTACCAATGCCAGCTATTTTTGTATTTTTTAGAACGGGTTTTCACAGTTGGCCAGGCTGGTCATTGGAATGCCTGGGCCTCAAGTGATCTGCCCGGCCTTGGCCTCCAAAGTGCTGGGATTACAGGTGTGAGCCACTGCACCTGACCAAACTCAGGTCTTTGAAGTTGCTTTTATTTAGTAAACCATATCAGCTTTAGTTGCTATTTCTTCTATTTTATAAACTAAGCCCATCTTAGATGGTAAGCTCTTCTCCAGTATCCCTCTTTATGGTATGTGTTATAATCTACTGCTTACTAGAGCTAATAACATTTTACCCTGAGTATCACTTATACAGACAAATAGTTTTTTATGGCTTGATATTTTGCTCTTCTCACTTGATTTTGTTTAACATGTACCTCTGTGACTGAGCAGTCTTTTTTTCCCCTTCTGGTGTGTAGGTATATAGAAGTGTTCTGCTGAAAAGTATTCAAGAGAATTTGTGCATATAATAAGAATATAAATGAGACTTTGAAATGATAGATTGTGGTAAGTTATCCAATTTAACATACTATATGTAAAACACATTGGATCACACTGTACATAATACAGTGGGTGTCAGACAACATGGAAATGTGAATCAGGAGGTGAGGTAGACAATACACACACGTTTTGAAAACAATTATGTTTGAGGTTAGAATGTGCTGGTATAGTTTATTGAAACCATTAATTTGTCCCCCGTTAATTGTGTTTTGGAAGAAATTTTCTAGTCTACTTATACATGTTAATGAAACATATAAAAGAGACTTAATAAAATTCTTAAATCTGAATGACAGGGAAAACAAGGTAGCTGACAGTAATCTTCCCGAGGAGTCTATTAAGAAAATGTCCTGGCTGGGCGTGGTGGTTCACGCCTGTAATCCCAGCACTTTAGGAGGCCAAGGCGGTCAGATCACGAGGTCAAGAGATCAAGGCCATCCTGGCCAACATGGTGAAACTCCATCTCTACTTTAAAAAATACAAAAATTAACTAGTTGTGGGGTATGCATCTGTAGTCCCAGCTACTCGGGAGCCTGAGGCAGGAGAATCACTTGAACCCGGGAGTCAGAGGTTGCAGTGAGCTGAGATCACGCCACTGCACTCCAGCCTGGCAGCAGAGTGAGACTCTGTCGCACACACACACACAAAAGAAAATGTCCTGTTCATATAAGTATTATAGGTAATTCTGCTACCACAGGCAAGACTGTACCCTCTTGCCACCATCATGCTAAGACTTCAGGCACTAGTAATCTTTTTTAAAGAAAAGAAAATCAAATGGTTAGTATTCATACACCTCTTCTGTCTACCTCCTTTCCCTTGTCTCATCTTTCCATGTATTTAAGGTGTATGTAATATATACATGTGTATATACTGTGATTTTTTTGTTTTGTTTTGCTTTGTTTGAGATAGGGTTTTGTTCTGTCACCTACACTGGAGTGCAGTGGTATGATCATGACTCACTGCAGCATCGACCTCGCAGACTCAAGTAATCCTTCCACCTCAGCCTCCCGAATAGCTGCAACTACAGGCATGCGCCATCACCCTGGCTAATTTTTATATTTTTTGTAGAGACAGGATTTTGCCATGTTTGCTCAGGCTGGTCTTGAAATCGTGAGCTCAAGTGACCCGTCCACCTTGGCCTCCTAAAGTACTAGGATTACAGGCATGAGCCACTGTGCCAAGCCTAGGTACTGTGATTTCTTTAATGCCACAGTGTGAGACATTTAGGTCATTTCTCCTTTTTTCTTCTCTTTTCTTTTCTTGTCTTGTCTTGTCTTGTCCTCTCCTATCCCCCACTCTCCTTTCCTCTCTTCTCCCCATCCCCATCCCTTCTCCTCCCCTCCCCTCCCCTGCCCTCCTTTCTCTTTTCTTTTTTCTTTTCGTTTCTTTTTTTCTTTTCTGAGACAGGATCTCACTCTGTTACCCAGGCAGGAATGCAGTGGCACAATCATGGCTCACTGCAGCCCTGACTTCCCCCGTTCCTTTCATCTCAGTCTTGCTGTCACACCCAACTAATTTTTTGTAGAGGTGGGATTTTGCCATGTTGCCCAAGTTGGTCTCCAACTCCTGGACTCAAGCAATCTCCCTACCTTGGCCTCCCAAAGTTCTTGGCTGACAGGTGTAAGCCACCACGCCTGGCCAGGTTGCTTCTAGTTATGCACAGCTCTGTGATGAGTATCATTTGTAGCTTAAATATTTAGGCCACATCCTTAGGATAAATTCTTAAAAGAAAATCTGATGAATTAAAACAAGTTTTTAAATTATAAAAATATCCATAATCATTATGATGTCCACTGGGATATAAACTTTTAAGATTTCATTCACCAAAAAGATCTTTTAATAATGTCCTAGAATCTGACTTTTTGAGGATAATAGGCCAAACTCAATTCTTTTTACATAAGTGTGTTATTCTGGAGCCTTTTCAAGGCAATGAGGAGTATATAAGACAGTAACCCTGGCCAGGCGCGGTGGCTCACACCTGTAATCCCAGTACTTTGGGATGCCGAGGTGGGTGGATCATGAGATCAGGAGTTCGAGACCAGCCTGGCCAAGATGGTGAAACCCGTCTCTACTAAAACTACAAAAATTAGCCAGGTGCAGTGGGTGCAGTGGCAGGCACCTGTAATGCCAACTACTCAGGAGACTGAGGCAGGAGAATCACTTGAACTTGGGTGGCAGAGGTTGCAGTGAGCCAAGATCCTGCCACTGCACTCCAGTCTGGGTGACAGAGTGAGACTCCATCTCAAAAAAACAAAACAACAACAACAAATGCAGACAGTAACCCTGACAAACTATTAAAAAGCCTTTTTCTGTATTTGTTATACATGTTGCTTACCTATCTGGGGTGGTTTTTCTGTTCCTACAAAACCAGACATCAGGTTAGCTAGAAAGCTGTGGATCCCTTGCCTGTTTTGTGTTTTTTCTATACGAAACTAACTGCTAGCAAGTATCTGAGCTACAAGAGCAGTGAAGTAGAGAGTAGAAGCAAAAGATAATAGATGATGTCGTTTTCTGTTTTGTTTTCTTTTTGATAAGTGTCTGCCAAAGAAACTTGAGGTGACTGAGAGTTCGCCACTTCCTGTATATATAGGTTTCAGATCAAATTCTGCTACACAATTTCTTTATTTTATTTATTTATTTATTTATTTATTTTTATTTTATTTTATTTTTTTTTTGAGATACAGTCTCACTCTTGTGGCCCAGGCTGGAGTGCAATGGTGCGATCTCGGCTCACTGCAACCTCCGCCTCCCAGGTTCAAGTGATTCTCCTGCCTCAGCCTCCCGAGTAGCTGGGATTACAGATACCTGCCACCACGCCCAGCTAAATTTTGTATTTTTAGTAGAGACGGGATTTTGCCATGTTGGCCAGGCTGGTCTTGAACTCCAGATCTCAGGTGATCCGCCCACCTTGGCCTCCCAAAGTGCTGGGATTTCAGGCGTCAGCCACTGCACCTGACCTTTTGTTTGTTTGTTTGTTTGTTTTTTTGAGACCATGTCTTGCTCTGTCACCAGGCTGGAGTACAGCTCACTGCAGCCTTGACCTCCCAGGCCCAAGTGATTCTCGGCTCAGCCACGGCCTGGCTAATTTTTATATTTTTTGTAGAGATGGGGTTTCACCATGTTGCCAAGGCCAGTCTTGAACTCCTGGGTTCAAGTGATCCGTCTGCCTTGGCCTCCCAAAGTGCTGGGATTACAGGTGTGAGTCACCGCACTCTGTCTTATATACAGTTATTAACTATATTTATTAGCAAATAAGCAAACAATCATTGTTACAGGTCCTGTACAGTGGTGGTGGCACGGGGCAGGGAGAATATCCAGTGATGATGAACTCAGGAATTCTGGCACTCATAAAGAGAGTGAGAGCACAGTGACTTACATCTATAATCCCAGCACTTCGGGAGGCCAAGCCAGGAGGGTGGCTTGAACCCAGGAGTTCAAGACCATTGTGGGTAGCATAGTGAGAGCCCATTGCTACAAGAAATTTTTTTAAAATAGCCACACATGGTGGTGAGCATCTATAGTCCAAGCTACTCAGGAGGCTGAATTGGGAGGTTGGCTTGAGCCCAGGATGTCAAGGCTACAGTGAGCCATGATCTTGCCACTGTACTCCAGACAGAGCAAGACCCTGTCTCAAAAAAAAAAAAAAAAGAGAGAGAGAAAGTTATGTAGGAGGATATGCAATCAGACAAGTCTATATTCAGATAAGTCACCTTCCAGTTCTTAGAGCTATGTCTAGATGCTATGACCCAGATTTGGACACACCAAAGAACACCGACTTGGGAAGAACAGTTCTGGTTCTATAAACAAATTCATTATGGGTTGTAAAATAATTACTGTTTAAAAAGCACACACACAATTTATATATCCTATGCAGTAAGTTCATATATCCCAGTTCTATGTCTGACCACCACCCAAGGAAAAGATTTGCTCAAGAATGGGTGCCAAGATTTCAGATGCAGGATTCAGTCAACCTTACGGCTAGCATCAAGCAAATACCGTGGATCAGAATTCAGGGCTGGACACAGGACTTCTTAGAGCTTTTAGCCTTAACGTTATTATCCCTAAGAGTAAAGCCTAGAGACTTCACTGGATCTTTCATCACTTTCCTGGCTATTGAGGGTAGTGTCTCAAATATTTTAACCAATCTGCTTATCTTAAATACTTTTTATTTCCTGAACATGAGCTCATTTTTAGCATTAGTCATACTTAATAAGCATTCACTGTTTTCATCAGTAAAAACCCATTTCTGGCCGGACATGGTGGCTCACACCTGTAATCCCAGCACTTTGGGAGACCAAGGCGGGTGGATCACTTGAGGTCAGGAGTTCGAGACCAGTCTTGCTGACATGGTGAAACCCCATCTTTACTAAAAATACAAAAATTAGCCAGGCATGGTGGTGAGCACTTGTAATCCCTGCCACTTAGGAGGCTGAGGCAGGAGAATTGCTTGAACACTGGAGGCTGAGGTTGCAGTGAGCTGAGATTGTGCCACTGCACTTTAGCCTGGGCAACAGAGCAAGACTCTTTCTCAAAAAAAAAAAAAATTTCTGACTTTGAGTATGTTAATGAGCAAAGCATTGGTCATCGATTGAGATATGCCTAACAGAAACTGTTGGAGTGGAGAAAGAATTTCCTGATTAAAACACCAGCTCACTCCTCATGGGCTATGAATTCTTCATTGTCATGTTAGCAGACCACTCCAGAGCGGCAGTCTTAATTAGAATACTTGTGAGACCTAGGTTATAGCTTAACCTAAGTAACACAAACGTAACACTGTCCTCAAGTGTATTGTAGTTAACTGAAAACTTTACATTACTTCCTTAGAAACTTATTTTACGGATTAAAAATAATTATATTTAGGCTGGGTGTTGTGACTCATGCCTGTAATCTCCCAGCACTATGGAAGGCTGAGGCAAGAGGATCCTTTGAGCCCAGGAATTAAAGACCAGCAAGAGCAACACAGCAAGACCCCCATCTGCAACAAATGAAAATAAAAAATTAGCTGGGCATGGTGGCTGACACCTGTAGTCCCAACTACTTGGGAGACTGAGGCAGGAAGATCACTTGAATCCAGGAATTTGAGATTGTAGTGAACTATGATCGCACCACTGCACTTCAGCCAGGGTGATAGAGCAAGATCTTGTCTCTAAAAATAAAAAATATAACTATATGTATATGTATGTATGTGTGTGCATACACACACACACACACAGTCATGTGCCGTATAATGATGTTTCAGTCAGTGATGGCCCACACATACAACAGTGGTCCTATAAGATTATAATGCTGTATTTTTACTATACCTTTTCTATGTTTAGATATATTTAGATGCACAAATACTTGCCATTGTGATACAATTGCGTGTGGTATTCAGGACAGTAACATGCTGTACAGTTTTGTAACTTAGGAGCAATATGCTATACCATTCAGCCTAGGTGTGTAGTTGGTCATACAATCTAGGTTTGTGTAAGTATACTCTATAGTATTCTCATGACAAAATCATTTCAACAATGCATTTCTGAGAAGATAACCCATCATTATGCAATACACAACTATGTATACACATATGCATATATATAATATTTAATACAAGCTTTGTTCATAGTAAGGCCTTAGTAATAGCTATTATTTATAAGCAATATCAAATTTATTATATTAATGAGTATGGTTTTTTTAGCATTAGTCCCACTTAATAAACCATTCACTATTTTCATCAGTAAAAACCCATTTCTGGCCGGACATGGTGGCTCACACCTGTAATCCCAACACTTTGGGAGACCGAGATGGGATCTCAGTGTGTTTCCCAGACTGGTCTTGAACTCTTGGGCTCAAGTGATCCTCCCACCTCGGCCTCCCAAAGTGCTGGAATTACAGGCGTGAGCCACCACACCTGGACGAGTGTGTTTTTTTTAATGTCTTTTTTTTCTTTAGTTTTTTTAAATTTTAGAGATGAGATCTTGCTCTGTTGCCCAGGCTGGAATGTAATAGGATAATCATAGCTCACTGCAACCTTGATTTCCTGGGTTCAAGCGATCCTCTCATCTCAGCCTCCCGAGTAGCTAGGGATAAAAGTGCGTGCCACCACACCTAGTTTTTAAATTTATTAATTTTTTTTTTTTTTTTTTTTTTGAGACGGAGTCTCGCTCTGTCGCCCAGGCTGGAGTGCAGTGGCGCAATCTCGGCTCACTGCAAGCTCCGCCCCCGGGGTTCACGCCATTCTCCTGCCTCAGCCTCCTGAGTAGCTGGGACTACAGGCACCCGCCACCGCGCCCGGCTAATTTTTTGTATTTTTAGTAGAGACGGGGTTTCACTGTGTTAGCCAGGATGGTCTCGATCTCCTGACCTTGTGATCCGCCCGCCTTGGCCTCCCAAAGTGCTGGGATTACAGGCATGAGCCACTGCGCCCGGCCCCTTAATTTTTTTTTTTTTTATAGAGACAGGGTTTCACCACATCCAGCCTCCCACAATTTTAAATGTTTGGTTCATTCAAGTAAAGTATAGCTCCTTACCTTACATAAATATTAACAGCTAGAATTGGAATGACACAGAAACATGGAGACACTATAGTCTCTGTCTCAATAAATTTCTAATACAAGGAGGACATTAAATAATTTTAGGCCAGGCGTGGTCGCTCACATCTGTAATCCCAGCACTTTGGGAGACCGAAGTGGGAGGATCACTTGAGCCCAGGAGTTAGAGACCAGCCTAGAAAACATAAGGAGACCCTGTCTCTACAAAAAGTTAAAAAAAATTAGCCTGGTGTGGCAGCATTCACCTGTAGTCCCAGCTACTCGGGAGGCTGAGGCAAGAGGATCAAGAACCTGTCATAAAAACAAAACAAAAAGAAATAATTTTAATTGATCCATATAATGAGAATAACCTAGAAGAGCTGTTAACATACCAGTATCCTTTGGAACAGTATTTCCCAGAATGGTAGTATAAGTGTTTTGGGGGGGTCCAGGCGCAGTGGTTTACGCCTGTAATCCCAGCACTTTGGGAGGCCAAAGCAGGCGGATCACCTGAGGTCAGGAGTTTGAGACCAGCCTGTCCAGCATGATGAAACCCCATCTCTACTGAAAATACAAAAATTAGCCAGATGTGGTGGCATGCTCCTGTAATCCCAAATACCCAGGAGGCTGAGGCAGGAGAATCGCTGGATCCCAGCGGGCAGAGAGACTGCAGTGAGCCAAGATTGCGCCACTGCACTCCAGGATGGGCGACAGAGCAAGACTCCCTCTCAAAAAAAAAAAGTGTTTTGGGGAAAGAGACTATACATAAAAAATTGGGGAAGTATGGAATTAAAGTAAACATGAGAGTTTTTTTTTTCCCAAACTGCAGTACTTCTCAGAGCCTTATACTAACATGCATTTCTGAATTTCTAATATAATGTACAGCATTTCCTCAACTTTATTTAACCACATAGCTCCCCTCCCCTCCCACCCTAGTCAAGATCCTTTAGAAATAGCAGAAGTGAAAGAGACATCCAAATTAAGACTGAGATCCCCTGGGGCCGTTTGGTCTTTGAACCATGTTTGTGTTTTCTGGTTTTCCTAAGGTGAAGGCATTGCTTCTACCCATGTTCTCAATGTTTGTAGGCCAGTGAATTGAGAATGAGAACTTTTTTCAAATAAATGCTAAATTGTTTTTAATTGGTAGTGGTTTTCTTAACTCTTCTAAACACATTGTTCTTGTATATACAAGCAAATGATAGTTTGTAATACTCTATAATACTTTTCCTTCCCCAAAAAATAGTAGGACAAATTTCTGCCTAGTTTCACAAGCTATCCCAGAGTTGCACCATTAAGTAGGAAACTACGTTGGGGCAAGCTGTTATTTTACTATTGGGGGTGCTCAGTAAAACCTGAACACTGGTTCCTGATCAGGGTTCCTGTTGTACGTGGTACAATAAGGCTCTTAGAACACCTGTCACCTGCCATGTATTTGCAGAGAAATAAATGTAATTCATTTTGCTTCTTCCCTAACCTCTCAGGATATGCTTTACCTTTTAGAATCTTTCCACCTTTCTCAAAGACACAAGAAGAATATCTGCAGGCCTTTTAGTTTTATGAAGCTGAGGTTTGCCACTGCCTCCCATACTGTAGAACTTAGATAACACCAGCTCAGGGCTGTTGCCCCTCTAAAAGCCACTAATGACAGTCAGCTCAAAAGCTATGGTTGTGAAAACATTCTGAAGTGGCATCTAGAGAAGAGAGCACCACCTGCAATTGATATGTTTGCATTTCTCTAGATTCCAATTTGACTTATAAGTAATACAGATGGATTTCTGAACCTTCTCTGAAAATATTAATTTCTCTATGTAAAGACTTGTGAGTTTTTTTTAATATTGTAGAAAGGTAATTTAAATTGCTGACTTGTATATTAAAGTATGCTTTGTGGCTGGGCATGGTGGCTCACGCCTGTAATCCCTGCACTTTGAGAGGCTGAGGCTGGCAGATCACTTGAGCCCAGGAGTTGGAAACCATCCTGGGCAACATGGAAATATTGCCGTCTCTACTAAAAATAAATGCCGTCTCTACTAAAAATAAAAAATAGCCAGACATGGTGGTGCGTGCCTGTAGTCCCAGCTACTCAGGAGGCTGAGGTGGGAGGATCACTTGAATCCAGGAGGTTGGGGTTGCAGTGAGCCAACATTGCACCACTGCACTCCACCCTGGGTGACAAAGTGAGACCCTGTCTCAAAAAAAATAAAATAAAAAGTATGCTTTGTATCACAACATTGCATTCTTTTTAACAGACTTGGAAGATGCTACAAAAACACCTGACTGTTCCAGTGGACCAGTGAAAGAGGAAAGAGGTGATCTTATAAAATTTTACAATACAATATATGTAGGAAGAGTGAAGTCATTTGCACTGAAATACGACTTGTCAAATCAGGACCATGTGGTATGTTTTATGTTTTACTACTTTATTATTATTCGCTGTCATAGTTGAATTACTGTAAGTTTATTTTGCTAGATAAGTATGTCAAAGTAAAATTACTAGCAATTAATCAGAGCATGACTAGTAACTTAATCGGTGATTAAGGCTATGGTACAACAGAGACCAGAGGAAATCATGGAATCTGTTGCCCTGGCTACAGTGCAGTGGTGAGATCCTGGCTCACTGCAACCTTTGCTTCCAGGGCTCAAGCGATGCTCCCACCCCAGCCTCCCAAGTAGCTGGTAGGACAGCTGCGTGCCACCACCACGCCTGGCTAATTTTTTTGTATTTTTAGTAGATACAGGGTTTCACCATGTTGGCCAGGCTGGTCTGGAACTCCTGGAGTTAAGCAATCTACCCACCTCAGACTCCCAAAGTGATGGGATTACAGGTGTGAAACACCACGCCTGGCAGAAATTTTATCTATACCATGATTATGTTACTAGAAATTCCGTGTACATATGGGTAAGAACTTGATGGGAACATGAATATTAAAACAATTAATTTGTTTGTATTTATTTATTTATTTATTTTGAGACAGAGTCTCACCCCGTCACCCAGGCTGGAGTGCAATGGCACGATCTCAGCTCAACTGCAACCTCCGCCTCCCAGGTTCAAGTGATTCTCCTGCCTCAGCCTCCCCAGTAGCTGGTATTACAGGAGCATGTCACTACACCTGGCTAATTTTTTGTATCTTTAGTAGAGACAGGGTTTCACCATGTTGGTCAGGCTGGTCTTGAACTCCTGACCTCGTGATCCGCCCACCTCAGCCTCCCAGAGTGCTGGGATTATAGGCATGAGCCACTGCGCCCAGCAAATTTGGTAAATTTTTCTGTTGTTACATTGTGAGATTAATGTTTTTCTCAAGTTAAAGACAGAAGGGGCCAGGTGTGGTGGCTCATGCCTGTAATCCCAGCACTTTGGGAGACCGAGGTGGGTGGATCACCAGAGGTCAGGAGTTCAAGACCAGCCTGGCCAACATGGTGAAATCCCATCTCTACCAAAAATTAGGTGGCGTGGTGGCAGGCACCTGTAATCCCAGCTACTCGGGAGGCTGAGGCAGGAGAATCACTTGAACCCAGGAAGCAGAGGTTGTAGTGAGCAGAAATTGTGCCACTGCACTCCAGCCTGGGTGACAAGAAGGAAACTCCATCTCAAAAAAAAAAAAAAAAGACAAAAGGAGGTCAGGCGCTGTGGCTCATGCCTGTAATCCCAGCGCTTTGGGAGGCCGAGGCAGGTGGATCACGTGAGGTCAGGAGTTCAAGACCAGCCTGGTCAACATGGTGAAACCCCATCTCTACTAAAAATACAAAAATTAGCCGGGCATGGTGGTAGGCACCCGTAATCCCAGCTACGTGAGAGGCTAAGACAGGAGAATCACTTGAATCCGAGAGGCAGAGTTGCAGTGAGCCAAGATTGCACCATTGCACACCAGCCTGGACAACAGAGCAAGACTCCGTCTCAAAAAAAAAAGGCAAAAGGAAGTAGATAGGCCTGGATCATTAATAGAGGCACCACTAAGAAATTTTTATGCAGGCCAGGCGTGGTGGCTCACGGTTGTGATCCCAACACTCTGGGAGGCCAAGGCAGGCGGATCACGAGGTCAGGAGATTGAGACCATCCTGGCTAACACAGTGAAACCCTGTCTCTACTGAAAAGACAAAAAAAAAAATTAGCCGGGCATAGTGGCGGGCGCCTGTAGTCCCAGCTTCTAGGGAGGCTGAGGCAGGAGAATGGCGTGAACCGGGGAGGTGGAGCTTGCGGTGAGCCAAGATCATGCCACTGCACTCCAGCCCAAGCAACAGAGCGAGACTCCGTCTCAAAAAAAAAAAAAAATTATGCAGACCCCAGTTTTGGCAGTCGCAGCAGGCCTGAGAAAGTGTTACCAGTGTGTAAGCTGAGGTTGCTTCCCAGAAGACCAGACTTTAGCTCTAAGAAAAAGAGACCAGCCAGGCACTTCCCAAGCCTGTAATCCCAGCACTTTGGGAAGCTAAGCCTGGAGGATTGCTTGAGCCCAGGAATTTGAGACCAGCCTGGAAAAATAAGAAGGCCCTGTCTCTTTAAAAAAAAAAAAAAAACTCTACAAATTAGCCATGTAGTGGCTGGTATACACCCAAGTAGTGGTCCCAACTACTCAGCAAGCTAAGGTAGGAGGATCGCTTGGGCCCAGGAGGTCAAGGCTGCAATGAACCACAGTCGCATCACTGCACTCCATTCTGGGCAACAGAGCAAGACCCTGCCTCAAAAAAAGAAAAGAAAAGAAGGCCCTAGCAGAAGCTGCAGCCAGCCAATAGCTGTTTCTATGTATCTGTGTGCATCTGTACATTTCTGTTCTTCCTCTTTTCATGGAATATGGTCTATGACTATCCTCAGAGGTCATAACTGTTCATCCTACTCCAGTTTCACTTCCCCTCTGTCTATATACTCTGAATATCTCTACCATCTTAATTTATTTCCATTATACAGGATATTAAAGAAAATGAAATCCTTGCTCATCCAACTTATTTCTAAATATTTTCCATTTCCATATGAAGTGTTTCCCATTTCATTAACAGATTTTTTTCCATGTCAGAATCATTCTGCTGGCTTATAGAATTCTCTGCCTCTTTTATTCTCTCTGCTACTGCTTTGGTTGTGGGGTAGAGAGAGATTTTGTGTGTGTGTAGAGAGAGATTGTTATAGCAAGTATTAGAAGATTAGTTATTCTTTGTCCCTACTTTTTTTTTTTTTTTTTTTGGAGAAGGAGTCTCGCTCTGTTGCCCAGGCTGGAGTGCAGTGGCCACAGTCTTGGCTCACTGCAACCTCCACCTCCTGGCTTCAGGCAATTCTGTGCCTCAGCCTCCTGAGTAGCTGGCATTACAGGCGCCTGTCACCACGCCCAGCTGATTTTCGTATTTTTAGTAGAGACAGGATTTCACCATCTTGGCCAGGCTGGTCTTGAACTCTTGACCTCATGATCCACCCACCTCGGCCTCCCAAAGTGCTGGGATTACAAGCGTGAGCCACCCTGCCCAGCCTGTCCTTACTTTTTAAGCATGAATATGAGGTTCTCGTGCTCGTGGCTTAACTCCTGGTGTCTTGTCCAGAATTTTTTTTTTTTCTTTTGAGACAGAGTCTCACTCTGTCACCTAGGGAGGAGTGCAGTGACATAAACTCGGCTCACTGCAACCTCTGCCTCCTGGGTTCAAACAGTTGTCATGCTCAACCTCCCAAGTGGCTGGGACTACAGGCGCATGCCACCATACCTGGCTAATTTTTATATTTTTAGGAGCTACTCAGGAGGCTGAAGTGGGGTTTTGCCATGTTGGCCAGACTAGTCTCCAACTCCTGGCCTCAAGTGATCAGAGCATGTTGGCCTCCCAAAGTGCTGGATTATAGGAGTGAGCTGCTGCACCTGGCCCCAGAAATCTTTTTTTTTTTTTTTTTTTTGAAGGCAGATTCTTGCTCTGTCACCTAGGATGGAGTGCAGTGGCACAATCTGGGCTTACTGCAACACCTCTGCCTCCTGGGTTCAAGCAATTCTAGTGCCTCAGCCTCCCGAATAGCTCGGATTACAGGCATGTGCCACCACGCCCAGCTAATTTTTGCATTTTTAGTGGAGACAGAGTGTCACCATGCTGGCCACGCTGGTCTCAAACTCCTGACCTCAGGTGATCCACCCACCTCGGCCTCCCAAAGTGCTGGGATTACAAGTGTGAGCCACCACACCCGGCCAGAATTCTTAATACTAGTTATAAGACTTCCTGAAAGATCCAGGAAAATAGGCAGGGCATAGTGGCTCACACCTATAATCCCAGCACTTTGGGAGGCCGAGGTGGGTGGATCACCTGAGGTCAGGAGTTGGAGACCAGCCTGGCCAAGATGGTCATCTCTATTAAAAATACAAAATTAGCTGGGCGTGGTGGCACATGCCTGTAATCTCAGCTACTTGGGAGGTTGAGGCAGGAGAATCGCTTGAACCTGGGAGGCAGAGGTTGCAGTGAGCCTAGATTGCACCATCTTACTCTAGCCTGGGCAACAAGAGCGAGAGATACTTCATCTCAAAAAAAAAAAAAAAGATCCAAGAAAATAAATTCTACTTTATCTGTTGTTGTTGTAAAAAAAAAAAAAAAGAAGTAACAGATCTTTTTTTTTTTTTGCTTTTCTCAACCATAAATGAGCTTTTATAGTATAACTGATTCCTAACTAGGAGATATCATAAGAATAAAAATGGCCGGGCGCGGTGGCTCAAGCCTGTAATCCCAGCACTTTGGGAGGCCGAGACGGGCGGATCACAAGGTCAGGAGATCGAGACCATCCTGGTTAACACGGTGAAACCCCGTCTCTACTAAAAAATACAAAAAAAACCTAGCCGGGCGAGGTGGCGGGCGCCTGTAGTCCCAGCTACTCGGGAGGCTGAGGCAGGAGAATGGCATAAACCCGGGAGGCGGAGCTTGCAGTGAGCCGAGATCCGGTCACTGTACTCCAGCCTGGGCGACAGAGCTAGACTCCGTCTCAAACAAAAAAAAAAAAAAAAAAAAAGAATAAAAATATGGGATTCAAAAACAAAGAAAAACTTTTATCTAAAAAATCTGACTTTTGGGTTATTTTAGATGGATGCTCCACCACTCTCTCCTTTTCCACATATTAAACAACAGCCAGGCTCACCACGCCGCATTTCCCAACAGCACTCCATTTATATTTCCCCACACAAGAATGGGTCAGGCCTTACACCAAGAAGCACTCTGCTGTACAAGTTCAATGGCAGCCCTTCTAAGGTAAGGTGAATAGGCTAAAAGCTGGATTTCACATTAACAGTCAGTAACTGTTAATCTTGCCTCTTTTTTTGTTTTTGGCCAAGTTTCTACTATACTAATAAAATATGAAATGTTAACTATGGCATGTCTCCTCTCATCAAGAGCAGTATATTCAGTTTGAGGTAGTTTAATCCATTATTATTGACATGGTATTTGTGGAGTTCATTTTGAAAGTCCAGCATGTTTTCCTGTTCAAGCAAGATCTTGAGAAGGGACCAGTAAAGCAACATCTGCAAGTGGTCAGACCTGGGGGATGTCAAGTTGAAAGAAAGGCATTGGAAGTGAAAGTGCATTTGGTAGATGGCACCCAAGATAGGAAGACGTCTGAAAACACAAGCCTCCTCTTATGTACATAGACAACTCTGTGATCATCTCCATCCTTATCCTTGTTGAGTGGTGAAGATGTGATATGGACATGATTGCTGTTTTCAGATACTTCATGGACTGTCAAGCAGATCTGTTCAGTATGTCTCCAGAAGTCAGAATCAGTATAAACTGGAAGAAATTGTAGTGGGGCATATTGTAATTCAGTCCAAATACATTGGCTCCTTCTTATTACTTTCCTATTAAGTTATACAGATGCCTACAGAGTTCTCACTATACTTGACAAAGTTGGCTAAGATAATATACCTGACTGGACACAGTGGCTCAAGCCTATAATCCTAGCACTTTGGGAGGCCAAGGCAGGCGGATTGCCTGATCTCAGGAGTTCAAGACCAGCCTGGGCAACATGGCGAAACCCCATCTCTACTAAAAATACAAAAAATTAGCCAGGCATGATGGTCCACACCTGTAATCTCAGCTACTCTGCTCAGGAGGCTGAGGCAGGAGAATCGCTTGAGCCCAGGAGGCGGAGGTTGCAGTGAGCCGAGATCACCCCTTTTTCACTCCAGCCTGGGCGACAGAAGAAGACTCTGTCTCAAAAAAAAAAAAAAAAATTGAAAAGCATTACTCTAAGGAAGAGGATCTCAAACTGTAGGGAGCTTTAAAATCATTGGGAGGGCTTGTTAAAACAGATTAGGGCTGGTTGCAGTGGCTCACGCCTGTAATCCCAGCACTTTGGGAGGCCGAGGCAGGCAGATCACGAGATCAGGAGTTCAAGACCAGCCTGGCCAACATGGCGAAACCCCGTCTCTACTAAAAATACAAAAATTAGCCAGGCATGGTGGTGGGCACCTATAATCCCAGCTACTCAGGAGGCTGAGGCAGGAGAATCGCTTGAACCCAGTAGGCAGAGGTTGCAGTGAGCTGAGATCGTGCCATTGCACTCCAACCTGGGCGACAAGAACAAGACTTCGTCTCAAAAACAAACAAAAAAAAAACAGATAAGGCCAGGCATGGTGGCTCACCCCTGTAATCCCAGCACTTTGGGAGGCCAAGGTTGGGGGATCACTTGAGGCCGGGAGTTCAAGACCAGCCTGGCCAACATGACAAAATCCTGTCTCTACTAAAAATACAAAAAAATAGCCAGGCATGGTGGCATGTGCCTGTAGTCCCAGCTAGGGAGGCTGAGGCAGGAGAATAGCTTGAGCCCAGGAGGCGAAGCTTGCAGTGAGCCAAGATCATGCCCTGCACTCCAGCCTGGGCAACAGAGAGAGAACCTGTCTCAAAAAATAAAAAAATTATAGATGCTTCTTCTGCTTCTGGTCTGGGTACTACACATCGAGAACTACTATTATACAGTGAATTCAGTTGTTTTGGTTTTGTTTTTGAGACAGGGTCTCACTCTGTTTCCCAAGCTGGAGTACAGTGGCATGATCACTGGTTACTGCAGCCGCAACCTCCCCAGGCTCAGGTGATGCTCCTTAGCCTCCCGAGTAGCTGAGACTACAGGCACAGGCCACCACACCTGCCTAATTTTTGTATTTTTTGTAGAGACCAGGTTTGCCATGTTGCCCAGGCTGATCTCAAACTCCTGGGCTCAAGTGATTGAACCATCTTGGCCTCCCAAAATGCTGGTATTACAGGCCACCACACCTGGCCTTAAATCTAATTTTTAAGCCACCTGAAAAGATTAGTTCAAGCCATCCCTTATGAGGTTGTTCTAAGTTTTAAAAAGAATCCTTATCCCAGTGTGAAGATTTGGATAGAGGATAGAACACAGGAAAAAACAATTCACTTGGTTGTTTGCTGCCATTTCCCTTCTCCCTCTTTTACTCACACACGTTCTCTATTTCTGCACAGAGTTTGAAAGAGATCAACAACATGATAAGGCAAGGTGAGCAGAGAACCAAGAAGCGAGTAATAGCCATCGATAGTGATGCAGAATCCCCTGCCAAACGCGTCTGTCAAGAAAATGATGATGTTTTACTGAAACGACTACAGGATGTTGTCAGTGAAAGAGCAAATCATTAATGTTCTTGCTTCTATGATAAAAGCACTTTCAGATTGTTCTGCAGAAAGTTGGAGCTCTGTCCTTCAAACCTTTTAGCCCTATGGATGGTAAATATTGCTGGATTATAAGAAAAAAATTGCACAAAAATGTGCTTTTTAAAATATTTATCCAAAATGTAATTGACAGAGATGTATTTTGAGTTGGACTGGAAAGGAATATTTTAAGTGCCTTTTAAAAATACTAATAGTCCGGCTAGATGCAGTGGCTCACGCCTGTAATCCCAGGACTTTGGGAGGCCAAGGCGGGCAGATCACCTGAGGTCAGGAGTTTGAGACTAGCCTGACCAACATGGAGAAACCCCATCTCTACTAAAAATACAAAATTAGCCAGGTGTGGTGGCACATGCCTGTAATCCCAGCTACTTGGGAGGCTGAGGCAGAATTGCTTGAACTCAGGAAGCAGAGGTTGTGGTGAGCCTAGGTTGCGCCTCTGCACTTCAGCCTGGGCAACAAGAGTAAAACTCCATCTCAAAAATATGTATATATTAATAGGGATTTTTTTTTTAAATGTTTGCTCCTTAAGTTAGTTTTCAAGTTGAAATTAGGAGAAACCCCATAACTTTTTAGCTCTCTTTTAAAAATAAATGTCTCCTCCTCCTGTGTGTTGTAATATGAGGATAAATAATCTACTTTTGGTAAGCATGCTTTGAGATATTTGTATTCTCAATTTAATATTGAAGGAAGGGGTTGGTTCCCATAGTACCTGGCCAGAGGGTTATGTACCAGCCTGTCTCTGGCCCACTGTGGTAATTCCACATCCAGGTGCTACCACCATTCAGGGTTGTCTCCTTCTCGTGCCTTTTCTCTCCTTGAGCTTTATAAACAGATTTGTACCTGAGCCCCAATGCTACACTCATCCTTGCTTTCCAGCCCTAAGCCATCTCAGCCTGATGTCACAACCCAATAAATGGGCACTTTCTTCTTTTGTAAACTATTATCATTTTGGTTTCTGTGACATTAACTTAATTATATATGATCATACTAACTCTTGTAGTTCTCAAAATAGGCAGCTGCTTCTCAAGCCAGTAGAATAAAATTCAGTTAGTTATTAAAAACTAAATTCCTGTTAGTAAGGTAACACCATGATTATGTGTGTTATACTATTTTTGAGATCATAGTATCAGTCATTCTCAATATCTAATTGAGTCCCTAAGAATATTTTAAACCTTTTTTTTTTTTTTTTTTTTTTTTTGAGACGGAGTCTGGCTCTGTCGCCCGGGCTGGAGTGCAGTGGCCGGATCTCAGCTCACTGCAAGCTCCGCCCCCCGGGTTTACGCCATTCTCCTGCCTCAGCCTCCCGAGTAGCTGGGACTACAGGCGCCCGCCGCCTCGCCCGGCTAGTTTTTTGTGTTTTTTAGTAGAGACGGGGTTTCACCGTGTTCGCCAGGATGGTCTCAATCTCCTGACCTAGTGATCCGCCCGTCTCGGCCTCCCAAAGTGCTGGGATTACAGGCTTGAGCCACCGCGCCCGGCCCTTAAACCTTTTAAAAACCACATAAATATCATCTTATGCCTCGTAATTCCAGTATATTTAATACATCAGTAAAATAGCTGCTTATTACTTCTCCCGCTTTGTTCTCAGTATTTTTAGTACATCATGAGTTTCCTGCTGGTGTACCACTGGGTACTCCTGAAGATGTTTTTCCATACTAGGGATGCTTTTCAGTATTAGGGATGCTTTTTTCAGTGCTAGGGATGCTTTTCAGTACTAGGGATGCTTTCCAAAATATCACCTCTTTTACATTTACTTTTTCTAGTATGTGTCTGGAATCCAGAGAACATGAAAAAGCCACTTATAATTAATTTTGAGAAGTTTTATCAAATGTTTATGTTTCTAACTGCAAACGTTAATTTTGGAAAGGCATAATGTTTAACTCACCTATGTTTAACCATGGCTAATTTAAAATAGTCAGATTTGGCTGTCACTAATTAGTATTCTCAAGAATTTCATTTTTCAATTTTAAGAAGAAAAGGGATTTTGGTCACATTTTGCTTGTAAATGAAAATTACATCCTCATTCTTTGTGTAGTATCTACACATTGTTATAAGCCAAAAAACAAAGTCTGTCTTGAATCCTTGTACATATTTGTATGTTGCTGTAATTGTTATTTTTATCTTCATTATTGTGCAAAATATAAATGAGCATTTGTACATTGACTGTATAAGAAACCATGGGCCGGGTCCTGTGGCTCATGCCTGTAATCCCAACACTTTGGGAGGCCAAGGCAGGAGGATCACTTCAGTCCAGGAGTTCAAGACTAACCTGGGCAACATAGTGAGCCCTCATCTCTACAAAAAATAAAAAAATTAGTTGGGTGTGATGGCATGTGCCTGTAGTCCCAGCTATTCAGGAGACTGACATGGGGGGATTACTTGAGGCTGGGAGATTGAGGCTGCAGTGAGCTGTGATTGCACCACTACACTCTATCCTGGGTGAGAGGTCAAGACCCTTTCTCAGAAAAGGAAAAAAAGAATTCTGGACATGTTTTTATCAGTTTTCAGGACTTGGTATCAATGTACATAAAATGGCTAATAAAAACTGGAATTCAGATTATTGAAAAAAACTCTTTTCTATATGACTGGAAGCAGTTGCACAGCCATCTAAAATCTGTTTTAATATCTACTTTATGACTTTAAAATTCCTTAGAATAACTTAAAAGTTAATGTTCCTGTGGTTTCCAGGGTCTAGGGGGAAAATGAAAAATAACTGCTTAATGGATACAGAGTTTTTTTGCAGGGAGTGATGAAACTATTTTGGAACTTGATATAGGTGGGGTAGTTGCATAACATTGTGAATTTACTAAATGCCACTGTATTGTACGTTTTAAAATGGTTGAGTTTGTGTTACGTAAATTTCACCTTAAATTTTTTTTTTAAGTCTTAGATACTGTATTAGTCCATTTTCACGCTGCTGATAAAGAAATACCCGACCGAGACTGGGAAGAAAAAGAGGTTTAATGGATTTACAGTTCCACATGGCTGGGGAGGCCTCACAATCATGGCAAAAGGCAAGGAGGAGCAAGTCACATCTTATGTGGATGGTGGCAGGCAAAGAGAGAGCTTGTGCAGGGAAACTCCTGTTTTTTGTTTGTATGTTTGTTTTTGAGACAGAGTCTTGCACTGTCACCAGGCTGGAGTGCAATGGTAGGATCTTGGCTCACTGAAACCTCTGCCTCCTGGGTTCAAGTGATTCTCCTGCCTCAGCCTCCCACATAGCTGGGACTACAGGTGCATGCCAGCACGCCCAGCTAAGCTAATTTTTGTATTTTTGTGGAGACAGGGCTTCACCATGTTGGCCGGGATGGTCTTGATCGCTTGACCTCGTGATCTGCCTGCCTCGGCTTCCCAAAGTTCTGGGATTACAAGCGTGAGCCACCATGCCCGGTGGAAACTCCCATTTTTAAAAGAATCAGATCTCTTGGGACATATTCACTATCACGAGAAGAGCCCAGGAAAGACCTGACCCCATAATTCAATCACCTCCCACCAGGTTTCTTCCACAACATGTGGGAATTGTGGGAGTTACAATTCACAGTGAGATTTGGGTGGAGACACAGCCAAACCATATCATTCTTCCCCTGGCCCCTCCCAAATTTCATGTCCTCACATTTCAAAACCAATCATGCCTTCCTAACAGTCCCCCAAAGTCTTATTTCAGCTTTAACTCAAAACTCCACAGTTCAACATTTCATCTGAGATAAGGCAAGTCACTTCCATCTGTGAGCCTGTAAAATCAAAAGCAGGTAAGTTACTTCCAAGCTACAATAGGGGCATGGGCACTGGGTAAATACAGCTGTTTCAAATGAGAAAAATTGGCCAAAACAAAGGGGCTACAGGCCGCTTGCAAGTCTGAAATTGAGTGGGGCAATTAAATCTTAACGCTCCAAAATGACCTCTTTTGACTCCATGTTTCACATCCAGGTCATGCTGATGCAAGAGGTGGGTTCCCATAGTCTTGGGCAGCTCCACCCCTGTGACTTTACCTCCCAGCCTCCCTCCCAGCTGCTTTCACAGGATGGTGTTGAGTGTCTGTGATTTTTCAAGGCACATGGTGCAAGCTGTCAGTGGATCTACCATTCTGGGGTCTGGAGGACAGTGGCCCTCTTCTCTCAGCTCCACTAGGTGGTGCCCCAGTAGGGACTCTTCGTAGGGACTCCAACCCCACATTTCTTTTCCATACTGCCCTAGCCGAGGTTCTCCATGAGAGCCCTGCCCCTGCAGCAAACTTCTACCTGGACATCCAGGCATTTTCATGCATCCTCTGAAGTCTAGGCAGAGGTTCCCAAACCTCAATTTTGACTTCTGTGCACACCATGTGAAAGCTGCCAAGGCTTGAGGCGTACACCCTCTGTATGGCCCAAGCTCTACATTAGCCCCCTTCAGTCATGGCTGAGCAGCTGGAACGTACAGCACCAAGTCCCTAGGCTGCAACCAGCATGGAGACCCTGGGCCCAGCCCACAAAACCACTTTTTCCTCTTAAGCCTCCAGGCCTGTGAATGGTGGAGTGGGGGAGCAGGTATGATGAAGACTTCTCACATGCCCTGAAGACTTTCCCCATTGTCTTGGTGATTAACATTCAGCTCCTCATTGCTTATGCAAATTTCTGCAGCCAGCTTGAATTTCTCCTCAGAAAATGGGATTTTCTTTTTTTGTTTGTTTTTTGTTTTGAGATGGAGTTTCGCTCTTGTTGCCCAGGCTGGAGTACAGTGGTGCAAACTCAGCTCACCACAACCTCCACCTCCCAGGTTCAAGTAATTCTCATGCCTCAGCCTCCCAAGTGGCTGGGACTACAGGCATGTGCCACCAAGCCCAGCTAATTTTCTATTTTTAGTAGAGACGTTGTTTCTCCATGTTGGTCAGACTGGTCTTGAACTCCCAAACTCAGGTAATCCACCTGCCTTGGCCTCCCAAAGTGCTGGGATTACAGGCATGAGCCACCACATCTGGCCAGGATTTTCTTTTTTATCACATTGTCAGTCTGCAAATTTTCTGAACTTTTATGCTTTGCTTCCCTTATAAAACTGAATGCCATCTGGGCACAGTGGCTCATGCCTGTAATCCCAGCACTCTGGAAGGCCAAGGTGGGCAGATCAAGGAGATCAAGACCATCCTAGCCAACATGGTAAAACCCTGTCTCTACTTAAAAATACAAAAATTAGCTTGGCGTGGTGGTGCACTCATGTAATCCCAGCTACTCAGGAGGCTGAGGCAGGAGAAATGCTTGAACCCGGGAGGTGGAGGTTGCAGTGAGCCGAGATTGCGCCATTCTTTTCCAGGTAGCAACAGAGCAAGACTCCATCTCAAAAAAAAAAAAAAAAATGAATGCCTTTAACAGCACCCAAGTCACCTCTTGAATGCTTTGCTGCTTAGAAATTTCTTCCACCAGATACCTTAAATCATCTTTCTGAAGTTCAAAGTTCCACCAGTCTCTAGGGCAGGGGCAAAATGCCACCAGTAGATTTGCTAAAACATAACAAGAGTCACCTTTGCTCCAGTTTGCAACGAGTTTCTTATCTCCATCTAAGAGCACTGCATCCTGGATTTCATTGTCCATATTATTATCAGCATTTTGGTCAAAGCCATTCAGCAAGTTTCTAGGAAATTCAAAACTGTCCCACGTTTTCCTCTCTTCTTCTGACCCTCCAAATTGTTCCAACCTCTGCCTATTTCCCAGTTCCAAAGTCACTTCCACATATTCGCGTATCTTTTCAGCAGCACTCCACTTCTGGTACCAAATTGCTGTATTAATCCATTTTCATGCTGCTAATAAAGACATACCTAAGACAGAAGTAAAAAAGGTTTAATGGACTTAGTTTCACATGGCTGGGGAGGCCTCTCAATCATGGCAAAAGGCAAAGAGCAAGTCACATCTTACATGTATGGTGGCAGGCAAAGAGAGAGTTTGTGCAGGGAAACTCCCATTTTTAAAACCA